TGTGTGTGTGTGTGGTGTGTGTGGTGTTTGTGTGTGTGTGTGTGTGTGAGTGCGCACCAGGGTTGTGTGTGTGTGTGGCGCGCACGCAGGTGTGTGCGGTGCGGGCCGCGCCGTTGTGCGTGTCTCGTTCGTGCGGGGTGTGTAGATAAACCGGTTAAATTCCACATGCTTCCTGTATTTGTCGGCTGTTTCCGAATGCACTAAACGAAATCCGTCTCTCTCTGGTATGACGTCAGTTCTTGACTACTGTATCCTGTAAAAGATGCGACGTTTATTGGTCAGCACTTATTGTCACACGATAATTGTCGCATCGCGAACGTAGGTTTTAGTATACATGCAACCACTGTGCCAATCACACACACGTACGCGGGAGTACGCGCCACGCTACGACGGCACGCAACCATGCACTCACATTACACGCACAGCGCACACACGTACGCAACGTACGTCGCGCAGACAAGGCAACGCACAGCACACGCACTGTGCACACACCACGCAACGTACTACACAGCCATTCAAAAACACCCACAGCATGCACGCCACGCAATCGGCACACATACATTGCACACTCAACAGGCACGCACACACACACACAACAACAACACACACACACACACACACACACACACACACATCCAACAATAACACGCACGCCTCACACGCACACGATCACACTCACATACAAACACGGTGTCGTGGAGGTGGCGGGGTGTGCCTGAGGGGTGGCACGCGCCACGCACACACACACATCACACACACACACAGAACATGCACAAATCAAACACGCACGCAGCATACGCACGCACGCACGCAACGCACGCAACGCAGCAAGCTCCATGTACGCTCGTCTTTGGGCCTCCGTGTCTGGCGTGTACATCGTTCACACCGCTGCAGGTAGTCGAACACGTAGATGTTGGGGCGAAAGTTGAGCATGTTCTGTTCACATTACATTAGCATATAGCAGACGTTAACATATAACGTCAAAATGCAACACATATTTAACACGCATATTTTGCACAACATATTTAATTTTGCCTCTTTAGCCACATTTTATTATGTTGATGCACTTCTTACTCCGCGTTAATCGACCCCGTTATTTTGTCAGAAGTATTGTCAAATTTTGTCAAATCTATTTAGTTGAAGTCCACGCATAGTCGTTGCTTAGCAATAGCTTCCTTCGTCACAGCATTTATACCTGTGTGGAGGAAAAGCCACCAAGCTCGTTCCTCTGGCTGACCAGCCACTTCATGATGGGTAGCGCGCCTTCGATGTCCTTGCGGTAGGTATGCGATAGTAACACGTACGAGGTCATCTCAATGTCAACAGACGGGTGGCTGTGATAGTACCACCAGTCGGCCGACTTCGGTTGTTCTTCGGCGTTCTTCCAGTATTTCATGCCATCTGTAACACGACCATGAACAACGCGTCAGTACCGAGGCCTAACATAAACACTATAGATATAGATTTATTTATAGGCCTTGGTCAGTACGGCGTGACTGACACTAGGCGGCGCTGTGCGATCTACACCGGACATGCGTTTTAGATCATTACATCTACTGCTGCTGCTGCGAGCGCAGAAGTTCGAGTATTTTCTTGACTATAATATAAATGAGATTCACATTCTCTTAATGACAGGGCAGAGGTAATAGCAATATGCGCGTTGGGAAAATGTAAAATGTATCAATTCATAATTACATTTTACACGCTTGTACACAAATGATAATGACGATTCTAAGTTCTTATTTGATTTACATACTGATCAAGAGTAGATAATAGCGACTCTCTATTATCTACTCTTGATACTGATTAATACACTTTATACGATTCATACGAAAATATATGTATTTTTATATAAAGACATTCGCGAAAGCAGCACTGCATTTCTAGACAACTTTAAATGGTAGAAGACTCAGACTATCAGAGTGAAACATAGTGCGCAGCAGTATGAAAGAGTAATGAATCGTTAATGCTCATTGTTACCTTCTTCCTTTGCAAGTTTCTCTAGCTTCTTGCGAGTGTCCGTCTGAGCCGGATGGTTGGCTAGAGTCAGAGCGTAGTTTGTCAACGCCAGTTCGTACGGAGTGTCCATCGCCGACACTCTAGACACGAGGTACTGTATGCTGGTGTCAAGCGCCATCTTGAACTCTGCCTTCTCTACGTCGGTGTCATCCATCTAATACAGAAAAAAATAAGCGTGTTAGTAAAACGATTGGACGACAAGAAATCTATGTTGGAAGCGTTGTGGGACGGTCGCCCTGAAATGATTCCAAATCGAAAGAGAACTGGTCCCTATATTTAAGTGGTACCTTTAACGAGTTAATTAAATGGCGAGTCCAAGAGACGCGGGTCCCCTTGCGGTCCCATACGTAACGCACCATGTTAATTAATTACATAATCATCCCAAGGACAAATAACTTATAGATTCTTGTGGGTATTCTCCTTGCAGATGTCCAACATTGGATTAAAAAGCAGTGAAATCAGTGACTATCTTAATTGCTTTTCAGAGGGTTAAACTTTCTGAATGTCCCATATGTAACGTGCGCAAACTCTGCTAAAACAATAGGTTGATGCTGTTCCGATGGTTCGTATGAATAGAGAGGGAAATAGCCCATACGATTAGAGGGTTTCGATTTTCACTCTCATACTAATGTTTCCCTCTCCACTCTCGAGTCTCGACCCCCTCTGCTATATTGCGTATGTCCACGAAATTCAGCACATCGTTGATGTCTTGCCAGTGATTCCAGAGGGCCTACATGGGATGTATGTTATCAAGAGCTTATAATAAAGATTATTAATAATAATATTAATTAATTAATTAGAGAATTCAGCTGCCTTGGCGGAGGTCTGTGCTCTCCGAGTGCTCTAGTTATTCATGAAATCGTCTTTGCTTGTGACTTGAACCCGGAGTTCTATCGTGGAGCAGGGCTTATTCTCACGTAATCGTAATCGTAGCTTGGCAACCACTCGATCGTTGCTTACTGATTACCTGGCAGTCTGTTAATCTAAATTCATGGCTTCTTGTTACGCCTCTGTGACGATAACTGGCCTACGGGTTTTTCACACACACACACACACACACACACACACACACACACACACACTTATAAAATGCTATTTAGTTGAAAGTCCCACAGGCAATGTCGTTGCTAATTAGGCATAGCTTCCTCGTCCCCAAGCATTTATACTGTGTGGAGAAAAGCCACGGCAAGCTCGTTCCCTCTGGCTGACGCAGCCCACTTCAGTGATGGTAGCGGGACGCCTTCGATGATCGCTTGCGTAGGTATGCGATAGTAACAGCGTACGAGGTCATCTCAATGTCAACAGACGGGTGGCTGTGATAGTACCGAGCAGTCGGCGGCGACTTCGATTTGTTCTTCGCGTTTCTTCCAGTATTTCATGCGATCTGTAAACGACCATGAACAACGCGTCAGTACCGAAGGCGCTAACATAAACACTAAGATATCGATTTATTTATAGGCCTTGGTCAGTACGAGCGTGACTGACACTAGGTCGGCGATGGCGATCTTACAGCGGACATGCGTATTTAGATCATTACATCTACTGCTGGCTGGCTGCGAGCGAGCAGAAGTTCGAAAGTATTTTTCTTGAGCTAATAAATATAAATGAGATTTCACAATTCTCTAATGAAGCAGGGCAGAGGTAATAGCAATATGCGCGTTGGGAAATGTAAAAGTATCAATTCGATAATTACATTTTACACGCTGTAACACAAATGGATAATGACGATTCTACAGTTCTTTTTGATTTTACATACTGATTAATACACCTTATACGATTTCATAACGAAAATATACTGTATTTTTATATAAAGACATTCGCGAAAAGCAGCACTGGGCATTTCTAGACAACTTTAAATGGTACAAGACTCCAGACTATCAGAGTGAAAACATAAGTGCGCAGCAGTAATGAAAGAGTAAATGAATCGTTAAGGCTTCATTGTTACCTTCTTCCTTTGCAAGTTTCTCTAGCTTCTTGGCGAAGTGTCCGTCTGAGCCGGAATGTTGGGCTAGAGTCAGAGCGTAGTTTGTCAACGCCAGTTCGTACGAGTGTCCATCGCCGACACTCTAGACAGCGAGGTAGGCTGTATGCTGTGTCAAGCGCCATCTTGAACTCTGGCCTTCTCTACGTCAGGTGTCATCCATTCTAATAGCAGAAAAAAATAAGCGTGTAAGTAAAACGAATTGACGAGCAAAGAAATCTATGTTGGACGTTGTGGGACGGTCGCGCGCTGAAATGATTCCAAATCGAAAGAGAACTGGTCCTTATATTATAAGTGGTAGCTAACGAGTTAAATTAAAATGGCGAGTCCAAGAGACGCGGGTGCGCCCTTGCGGTCCCATACGTACGCAGCCATGTTAATTAAATTAGCATAATCATCGCCAAGGACAAATAACTTATAGATCTCTTGTGGGTATTCTCCTTGCAGATGTCCAACATTGAGTTAAAAAGCATGAAATCAGTGACTATCTTAATTGCTTTTCATGAGGGTTAAAACTTTGCTGAATGTCCGCATATGTAACGTACGCAAACTGCTGCTAAAACAATAGGTTGATGCTGTTCGCGATGGTTCGTATGAATATGAGAGGGAAATAGCCCATACGATGTAAGGGTTTGAGATTTCACTCTCATCTAATGTTGTCGCGCCTCTCCCAACTCTCGAGTCTCGAC